TGTCTAGCAAAGAGCCATCAAGTCATGATTTTTTAAAATTATAAGTCACACACACACACACACAGTCACTGAATCAGAAAAAAAGAAACAGATTTTCTTTCGACTGTCAGAGTGACAACACTCACAACTGTCGTGTCAGCAAGTGAAACTTTCCCTAAGTAAAGATCAGAATTCCAATCAGCATTTGAACCATTGCAAATATTTCAGTCTCAAAATTCACCTGCCTGAAAACCAAACACGTGCAGAAATTGCAAATTGGAAACTTTATACTATCAGGACATTAAAGTTGAACCACATGAGGTAAAGCACAATTATTTTTAAAATCTCCAAATCTTATACTTGTAAATGATATTTTCTCAAACATAAATACTAACATAGGCATTATTTGTGCCAATTTTTCCCAGCAAATTTTGAAAAGAAAACAACATTGGGAATAAAAACGCTCTCAACATTTCAAATATTTTAATATTCTTCTTTCCAGAGTAAAATTAAAATTACAAAATTTACCTGCTTTGACTGTTTCTCTGTCCTTCAATTCTAAGGCTTTATTTGGATGAGAAGCTTTCATTCCACCGGTAGGCTAAATGGGTTTGGAAATAAAATAATTAATATATAATGTATACTTCATAAAATATGTAGTTAATATTCAAGATAAAAATAGAAAAGTTGTTACCTGCAGAAGACCATCTTTATCAGAAGACTCTAAAAGAAAAGGGACATATATAATTGATAATATGCAAGCCTGACAAAGCCTACCAAACATTCACACAGTGTGAATATGAAGATGAATCCTCATGCTTGGATGGAAAAGGGATTACACTAGGTTGTGGGGTCTTTTGGGTTATTGTCTTTGTTAACATGCCAATGTGACAGAAATATCCCTAAGAAAATTTAACGAAAAAATTTCATCAAACATGCTGTGAAGATTTCCACAGTGAAAAGATATTTAAAGTGACAATAACTAAAGCAGAAAAATCCTAATACCAGTAGGAGTAAGCTGCTATGTAAGGAACGAAGTTGTATTCAGTAAGATGACCAAGTCATGACCCCCCCGCCCCCCAAAAAAAACGAGATGTCCAAGCTGATGGTAGAATGCTATGGTATACAGTTAAGGAAACACATGAGAAACACTTATGTCAAAATACTACAAGTAGCTCTTATGTTCTTCAATTTGTCCTGTAGTTTAGAAATTGCAAATTTGCGATGAGGGTTCCAAGGTACAATTCACTTATCATTGCAGAGAATGCTCTAAATTTATCAGCATAAATATCTACTTATAGAATAACAGTTAATAAATACGTTCATTTTTGTACCTGTGTGAAATATGAGTATTTTTACATTTATGGGGTTCTCTCATTTAGTCCTCTTAAAATTTCCTGATCCACTTATACAAAAAGATCAAAGCATACCCATCAACAAACTAATCCAGGCCCGGTGCAGTGGCTCATGCCTGTAATTCCAGCATTTTGGAAGGCCGAGGAGGGCGGATCTCTCGAGGCCAGGAGTTCCAAACCAGCCTGGCCAAAATAGCGAAACCTGTCTCCACAAGAATACAAAAATCAGCCAGGTATCGTGGCACATGCCTGGAACCCAAGCCACTCGGGGGTCTGAGCTACGGGAATCACTTGAACCCAGGAGGCGGAGGTTGCAGTTAGCCAAGATCATGCCACTGCACTCCAGCCTGGATGACAGAGTGAGATTCTGTCTCAAAAAAAAGAAAAAACAAACAAACAAACAAAAAACCTAATATGAAAGTATCAAAAACTAGAAGTCAATTTCCAAAGACTTTTTACATATCATGAACCTGTGTGTTGCAATGTTAGAATAATGGTTATTAAAAATAACAATTTCAGCGTTCAAGGAATGAATTCTACAATTGCTTTGTTGCTAAAATTTATTCTATTTGCTATACCACATGAGTTGTTAAACTACTGTTATGAAAAAGCTCTTATAAAACACTTAGCTTCAAGAAAAAACAGACATTTCTTTCACATAGAAATACATCCCTTTCATCAAATAACACTAATAAAATAGGCTTAATCTCTCAGTTTTCTCTACTTTTATATTTTTCAGTATGACATACCTTAATATATTTAGAAATGCCACTTATACATGTTGTTTCCCTTGAGAGATGATTGATCATCTCTCAATTAAGGCACTTCAGGGATATTAACCCTCTAAAACACACCAAATTTATGTCTAACCATTTTAAGGCTAAATACGCATGATCGTATTGCATGTATGTGTTTTAAAAAAAAAGTGCTTAACATTGTATCCGATACGCTTTAAATAAAAACCTGCTTTAATTACAATGAGAAGGTCGTTCTCAAGTCATTAGTATCTTTCAAACTTACGTCTGAAGCACTGAAGAAACCTCAGAAATTCAGATGTGAGAACTGATACCATTAATTCATGTGCTTGTTTTAGGTAAAAATATGATCAACGTACATCCTCACTAAGGGCAAAGACAGCAGAGTGCCATGAGATAGGAAATGAATATGTAACCAAAATATTTTCCTTTATGAAGAAAATAGCTGGCTTTCACTTTTCTAAGACAAGATTAAAAAGCAAAACTGGCAGAGATGAAACATTCAGAGCTATCTCATCATCAAGGAACCGTTTACCACTTGGAACTTAGGAATCCTAGGCATGGTTGAAAACTCTATTTCTAAATTGTGATCTGATTTTCCTTGAAGTTCACAATCCAGGAAATACTACCCTAGTTATTTTCTTTTATTACTTTTATTTTTATAAAGGGGTACGCTGGAGATTTTTTAGAGTCAGGACAGGTCACATGGCATACCCCTAAAGATTAGTGAGCCACATTTGTAATGGCTATTGAAATGTATGACTTTGCATACCTGTATATTAAATACTTCACTTTTAATTTCTAACACAGCATGAAGCAGGACATACACTTAAACAAAGGCTTGTTGGCATCTGTAATTATACTTATGTTGCTTTTGAATCATCATGAAGAGAGTCTAATTAAACGTGGTGCTACGTGAACATGCAATATGCACACTATGAAATCTTTAGTTGTTGTTGTTTTTTAGACGGAGTCCCGTCCTGTCGCCCAGGCTGGAGTGCAGGGGCGCGATCTCCGCTCACTGCAAGCTCCGCTTCCCGGGTTCTCGCATTCTCCTGCCTCAGCCTCCCGAGTAGCTGGGACTGCAGGTGCCCGCCACCAAGCCCGGCTAATTTTTTGTATGTTTTCGTAGAGACGGGGTTTCACCACGTTAGCCAGGATGGTCTCGATCTGCCGACCTCGTGATCCACCAGCCTCGGCCTCCCACAGTGCTGGGATTACAGACGTGAGACACTGCGCCCGGCCTGAAATCTTAAACTAAATGAAAGGCGAGCTAATCGCCGAACAAAACAAAGTTGCTGTGGAGTGACAAGAACACGGTACAACCATCTATATATGACATTTGCAAAAAGCGTTAATACCAATATGTAGATGCTGAGTGATGAGGAGAGAAGTGATCTTGAATCAGAGGAGCAAATCATGACACTGAGAAAATAAATACAAAGCTGGACGGAGAATGCTACGCTGTGTCCTCAATGCAAAACATTAAAAGGACGTATGTCATTACATTGCAAGCATTCATCGTGCTCTTTACCATGTCCTGTCATTGAGAAGGTACACCGTTCGGATGAGAGTTCAATTGGATGTAGAATTCACATCTCCTCAGTGAAAGTGTTATGAATTGATCAGCTTGGATATATACTTAGAGAATAATACTCAATATAAATATTCACTGATTTTCATACCCAGATGGTATAATGGTATGCCAACATTTTTGTAATTTGTAGCTTAGCCATCTCAATATTTCTTGATCCACTCATGGAGGAAGATGTACAAAACTCATCAGGAATAGCAAATACGCTTTCAATATTGACATATTTGTTTCAAATTTAGTTGCACCATGTCCTGTCATTGAGAAGTACACCGTCTGATGAGAGTTCAATTGGATGTAGAATTCACATCTCCTCAGTGAAAGTGTTATGAATTGATCAGCTTGGATATATACTTAGAGAATAATACTCAATATAAATATTCACTGATTTTCATACCCAGATGGTATAATGGTATGCCAACATTTTTGTAATTTGTAGCTTAGCCATCTCAATATTTCTTGATCCACTCATGGAGGAAGATGTACAAAACTCATCAGGAATAGCAAATACGCTTTCAATATTGACATATTTGTTTCAAATTTAGTTGCCACAGACTTCTTAAATATCAAGAACATTTTCCGTATTAACATCAGTACAGTAGCTACGTATAACAACAATTTAAGTATTCAAGTAAAACATTCTGAATTTTCTTTCTTCTTCTTCTTCTCTGGCTAAAAATGTACTCAAAAATAAGAGCAACATAATGCTTTCTCCTGACCCTTTTCTGTCTTCACCTTCTATATCCGATTGCTCTTCCTCCACATTTCTCCCACCAAAGGCCTCTCCTCTTGCTACTCAGAGCAAGGTCCAAGGACAACCAGCATCAGCATCGCCTGACAACTTATTAAAAATGCAGAATCCCAAGTCGGCTGAATCACAGTGTGAATTGTTAACAAGGTTCTCAGCTGATTTTCTATGAAAACTTCTGGTCCATATGGAGTGCATATGATAAATTATATACATGTGTGGCCGTGCATATATGCTTACTCTCACCTATTGCAAATAGAACACAGCTCTCCATGGTCAGGTGCTTCCATCCCTAATGGCTTCCCACCAGTGAGAAAGACGGGAAGAGTCACAACATTTTTAAGCTAATTCTCTGGTAAGTTCTGGTACTAGAAGGTCACTTTATGTTCTTCCCAAATTTCTAACCATACCCGATCTTTTCCTAAAGAATCCTTTCATTTTACCATCCTCCATTATATTAAACCTGCTTCTTGTTCCTTCCTGTACTCTGTGTACTGTCTGTCTTTCTCAGTCTTCATTTCCTCTTTTACTACTGTCTTCTTTCTTATTTTCTCATTTTCCTCAGGTCTTGGAATATCTTGAATTCAAACTAATAATTCAGATAACTTTCAGCGCTCTCAATGTAGTCTGTTGCTAAAATCTGATAAGATGTACAATTTACTACCCATTTCAATTCTGTTTTTTTCTATGTTTGCACTTAGGAGGTGATTTTCTTTGGCTATTAGGGGATATTCCTCCTCATCAGTTTAGAGAAATATTTGGTCAAATGACATTTTAAATAAAAAATGATTCTTACCTTCTAATTTTCCACTTATTGTATCGAATTCTTTTCGATGTGTAGCCTTGGGTAAATACACATCATTCTGTAAAAGATTCTCAAGGAAATTCTGTTAAAAGTAATATCAATAAATAATTTCAACGGAGAAATCCCAATAATGAAGAGTATCAAAATTTCCTAAATAAACTCTTTTGGAAAAACACAGTTTCCTACTTTACAAGCAATTCGACTTAAGAGCAGACGTGTGTTGAAACCCAAAACATTTTGATAGAAAACCTCAAGTAACACTCTCTACATCAAGCTTGTCTGTACGTTCATGACGCTATGAACTTGGTTAGTGAGAAGGAAAAACAAATCACATTCACGAAATAATTCACTCCTGCGTATTTCAAAAAGTAACTCTCTCAAAAATATCTAACTTGTGTTGTAGTCCTCATCAAAAATAAGCATGACATTTCAAACAAAATACAATACACTTGCTAGTTGCCATA